GCCGCGCGGTCTGCACCAGCAGGGGTCACAAGCCCCAGGTGCTGTGTGGCTGCCCGTGCCCAGTCAGTGCCAGGGAGGTGGCGCCCTGGTGCAGGGCCAGGGCTGCAGCAGCTGTGGGGCAGCCGGGCTGAGCGCCGCCAGCAGCCAGCCCTGGCAGCCACCCGCCTGGGAGAGATGTCCAAGTCGCAGAGGGTGGACACTAATAAGATACAGAGCTCTGGAAGGCCAGGCTGAGTCTACAATTCAATTCCTCCAATCTTTTGCTTAGTAATTACAGTTCATTACAAAAGACAAAGTTGGGATTTGTAGAGCCAGTTACTACAGTCCAAAAACCAGATAAAGGGAAGCTAAAAAAAAATCCCAAACGCATTAAAAAAAACAAACAAACAAACAAACAAACAAAAAAATGCAAAAACCACACACACACACACAAAAAAACACGTCCTGAAACCCATGTCAACCAACAACACTAATGTGATCAGCATGGGCATTTCTTCTCATCCCCGCCCTAGAGAACAAATCTTTTTAAGAGTTAAAGCCCCAGCCTGAAGGACAGAGCCACTGCCATTTGTTGATGCATATTGCTCAAAGTAATGCCAAGAGCTAAATTCAGAGGAAGACACTGGGCATTTAACTCAAAACCCACCACTGCTCTGCAGCTCCCTGAACTCGGAGGCACTTCAGTTTTCCCCTGTATTCTACTTTTTATTTCACTGACAGCTGCAAGCTTCTCTGCTTGTTTAGATGTCTGCCCCTTTCCATCCTATCCTCAAACAGACACCAGAAGCAGGAATTCTGCCAAACCCTTCCAGTGCTCTACCAGCAGTTACTCTTCAGATCTTCACTTAATTCGTGCTGCCAATGCCAAGCCCCTTACCAAATGCAGCTGAGGCTGACCTTGTTTAACAGCCAGGACAGGGCAAGGAGGGGAAGTTGGCGATTGCTCATGAACTCTCAGACTTCAATAGTCGCAGCAGGAAAACTTCAGACAAGCAGCAGGAAAAAAAGGAGAGGAGGGGCGTACAAGTGAAAGAACGAACACCTAAGCAAGGACTAGAAACCTGGTTCCACATGCCCAGTGCCCTCACCAGCAGTTCAAATCCCTTTTGTGCTCACTTGCTCTCCCACCATTTCTCCCCCTGCACAGGCACACACCTTCCCACGGCAGCACAGGGCCACAGTCTTCATCTTAATGGCTACAGCAAACTTCTGGGGCTTTAGATTTGAATTTCAAGCCTACTAAGCACTGAACTCCAATCACACACTGAAGCAATTACCCCTGCCATTAAATTCCTATTTAATTCTATGCTGGCTCAGGGAGACTACTGCTGATACAAGTACCTTATTAGCAAGCTCTGCATCCTCCTTTGACAACCCAGCACCAGGAGGGCTGGCAAACAGAATACAATGCAAACTCTCAGGTCCTAGAGAACCTCTTCCCTCTGGTGAAGAGTTCCATCTTCCAGCAGTCCTTCCTTTGCCCCTAGGCTGCGTAGGATAAACAGCAGTAGAGATAAGGCAGTCTAAGAAGCAAGTCCCTCCTTTTAACTGGTCACAGTGTGTAGAGGGAGAAGAGAGGATGATGCTGGTCAGATACACCTTGTTTTTTTCAATAAAAAGGGCCAACCAGCAAAGTTCTAAAATTCACTGGATGCTTCCAGTGAATTCTTTCAGATGAGGCTGGGCAGAGGCAGATTTCTGTGTTTCTGGATGTGGGCAACAATTAAGCTCCCAGATTCTGTGCTGTGATGATTCATGTGCCCAAGCCATGGTGATGCAGGGATACCAAATGCAGAGGCAGCAGTGGGGCTTTGTGGCTTGCCCTGGAAGAGCTTCCTGACGCTGCCTGGCTCTGACCCTGTCTGAGGCTTTCCTTTGTAAACACTGCCAGAGGCCAAGTGTCTCTGGAACGGAAACCTGAGGGAGGAGTGAGCTTTGCTGAGCTTGATTTTTACTAACACAGATGGAGTTCTACAGCTTCATTCTGTGCTCCTTTTAGGCTCTCAGGGAAAGATGGGCTGAAGTTCAAAAGAGACGTTCTGCCTCCTCCTGCCAGCATGCCTGAGCCAGCAAGGGACAGACACTGGAATGTGAAAGAATCGTTTCTCCAAATCTAGACACTGACAGGCATTCAAAGCACTGCCTTTATGAAGAACAAGCCACTTCAGACAGAGCACACATCTCTTACCTCTTGCCATGGATACTGCCACCTGAAGTTCACATCTACATCTGGCTCCCCAAGGACTGTGCAGACCACATGAATGGTATCCCTGACTTTTGCTTTGTTGGATGATGCAGCAATTGTGGTTGAGGGCGGCCCCTTGGGAACTGGTAGACAGTGTTTGGAAGCAGAAAATCAGTCTCTACAGTCAAATATGTTGATAAAACTTCAGAGTAAATTTTTGCTTTAGGTTGCTTAACACAACAGGTAAGTGACGTACACCTGCAACACTCCACTCTACACAGGGAAACTGCTGGAATATAAACTACAAAATTTTAATTGCATATACTGTGATATATAGACATACAGACCAAGATTTTAAAACTCTGATTACATCATTAGTTATGTTACTTTTGTTAAAAAAAAAAAATTGTTTTCTAAGCAATGTCAGTAAAAGAAATGAGTCACTGTTAAGCATACAGAAAACTGCATCTTACCTTCCACATAGAGCAGGTGATACTTGATGGAAATCTGAGGTGCTCCCTGTGACTCTGCTTTGCAGTAGACGACACCGTTATGATCAGAGGTGGGGTGCTGGTAGACAAAACCCTTCTTCACATCATAAATGATATCAGTTCCGTCTGCTGCGATTTCTCCTGCCGGGAATTCCCTGTGTAGGGTTACTTTTGCTGAAGGAGTAGTAACACGGCATGGAATGACCGCAGGTTTATCTGGGTTCAGGTAGACAATCTCAAAATAACTGGGAGTGGGTACAAAAAGTTCCTCTTTATCTGTGCAGAAGAGTTGACATAGTTAGAATAATATTTACAGCTTGGTTTAACAGAAAAGAGAGAAAATACTTACGACAAGAAAAAATAGCTATGAGCAACATTAAAAATTAACTCAAAGCTTTTTGCTTTAAATACGCACACACAAAAGAAAAAAACTCTGCCTTTTCTAATCTGGATGTATCTACATAGGTAGCATTAAGAACATTAAATCAAAAAGAAAACCAAAGTATAATCAGATTTTTTTTTTTTTAATCTTAGGACAATCTTTGGAATTTCTTTTTAATAAGTTTACAAACACTCATTTGAATCTAATCCTGTTCACTTACCCACTTTTACAGGGTAACACAGAAAAAAAACCACCACCACAGGTAAGATAAGCACTGCTAGATAGAGATATTCTCTTTTATACGTATGATTTTAGGCAAACTGATTTACTGCTCTAAGTAGCTGAAATATTTAGTGCCTTTAGAATGACAGATGAAGAGCGTTTCCATATTTGGCATGCTTCTTAGAAATAGCAAACTGAAATTTCTCTTTCAAGCATGAGCATTTACATAATAACTTGACTTGAAAAGTTTATTCCAGCCTTTCTAAAGGAATGTATCCTCAGGACATTAAACACTTCTGACAAATGGTTTCTGCACAGTCTCTTAGTCCCTTTTAGGTCCAAAACACATCGCAACAATCCTATCTTAGCCTTTTGTACTGAAATATTTGCTAGCCAAGAATGCTTTAGCTCTAGTCAGGCAGCAAAGGTTGGTTTACCATTCAGAATGTTTTCCACAAGAAGAACAAAAGAACCATTTGATTTCAGCTTTGTCGTACCAGTGAACAGCAGCAAACTGTGCAAAGTTACCTACCACAGCTCTCCAAGCAGTGTCAGGGCTACAGTTAACCTCGAGCTCGGGAGGACAACACGTGTACCTAAGAGTGTTTTGCCTCTCAACATGCTATATAGACTCTTGGGAGAAACTCTGGCCTTACCAAGACCTATGAAGTCAAGATTTTTAAGTCAATGCAGGTAACTGGAAGGACAGTGGGGGATGGGGAAGAGACCCCACAGTCATCTGAATGTCATGACAAAATGCATATTCTGCACAGATTTATTTTCTTTATCCAAACATATTTTCAAAAATCAAATATTTTTAATTCATTTTGTAGAAGATACTTAGAACATGTGTTAGGATTTTCAAAGGTATTTGCTTTCCATTGCATTAATGCATTATTTTGGGTACACATTCAGCATAATCCATAGGGAAAATGGACCCACAAATCACACAAGGCAAGTAATTTTCTGCTCACCAGCACTTCACATGCACTAAATAAAGATGAAAAACGTGGAAGAAAAATTTTGACGGTGGAATTGCTGATGTAGCTCTTATTCCTGTCTTGCTAGCAAATATATTTCCATTAACAATCCCCCAGTGAGTTAATTACCTGTGAAAAAGATGTATGTTGAGCCTGTTTTAGTCTCATCCTTCCTGCATTCGTTACCATTGCACAGCTGAAGCCAGCAGCCATATTCACCCGTGTCTGCTGCGGTGGAGTTTGTGAGGATCAGCTGACTGTACCTGTCAAGCTGCTTTATGCTGGGGAGAAGAAAAACAAAAGGCACAGCCAAACATAGGTTTATCTCCTCATAAATTTCTCTCAGCTCAATTCTACTTGTGAATTTTTTTTTTCCTGCACTGCAACTGACTCACCTTTCCCTTTCAGAGCTGTGCTGTGACTTCCCCCTCTGCTCCAGCAAAGAGCTGCTTGCATGAGTTGTTCTATTGATTTCAACCACACACGAGCACTTGCAAGATTTTGGCTTGCATAATTCATTCTTGGACTCAGCTCTGATTTGGAAACTGGGCTGTGACTGCTGCAGACAATATGTTCATCTATGTTTTGTCCCAGTTTGTTGTTCACATATAGCCTGGATTTTCACGCCCGGAGTTAACCTTCAATCTCAGTTCTTTTTGGATACCATTAACTGCAGCCTTGCTTCAATGTAACAAAGATAATTCAGGAGTGAGTAGTAAGTAGCAGGTACTTTAATGAGAGCCTGATGATTTATGCCTGCTTTCAGCGCCAACGCTTTCCCATCTTTAACACACTGGTCCAGGTTTCCACTTGCAGACACCATCACAGAGAGCTCCTACCTCAGCTTGGATTTGCCCTGTAAGTCAAGTCACTGCACTGACGACGACTCTGCCCGAAGCCACCTCACCAGCACCTTCTCACTAGAGTTTCCGCATCACCCCTGGGCTGCTTCAGAGAATGACCCTGAGACCTGCTGCAGGCGTGCTGGCAGTGTCATCACTTAGCTACACAAAATTCAGCCTGTGTGATTATTTCAGATTCGATTTGATTTTTTCCTTCTTTTGATTTCCCTGATTTCTCAGTGGATTGACATTTGTAAATGTGCAATTTATAAATATGTGGGTATATATGTGGGTACTGACAAAGTTTCTAAGGGTCAACGGTCCTATCTATGAAATTTAACAGCTACAATCTCACCCTGTTGTTTGTTTTGGGGTTTGTTTGTTTGTTTGTTTTTGGGGGGGTTTTTTTGTTTGGTTTCTTTTTTTTATTTAATTTTATTTTTTTATTTTAATGTTTGCTCTCCTAGCTCTTTCTGGCAGACAGATGGTGTTAGAGCTGGGAGTGTGCTGCATTGCTTTTTGATGGGTTACAAAAGCAATAGTCCAACAGCACCATTCTGGGGGAACCCTGTCAGACAGCTGTGTGGCAGTACTGACACACTCCACTGCTGCTCTGACCCTTAAAAATGTTATTACCAACCACCTGCCTTTACAAGGTAGTACCTCCAGAACATGATTCCTGCTTCCCTGTGCATGACATGGAGTCACAAGGTCATTTCTGTTCTAATCAAGTCAGGAGAGATTTCTTCCAGTTTTAGGTATCTGATAGCAAACTTATTATCAATCAGTGTTTAAATGGGGTCTGGACAAACACAGCTTGCATCCAATCTGACCTGCTCCCTTACTCCATTCAACTGTGGGTTCTCTGAATATTTGTTATCCTTCTATTCTTCTTATTAACGTGGCAGTTATTCTGTAAGAAAGATGCCTGACTGAATCCCTTGTTCCTGGGATCAGCATGCCTTGAAGAGATTATCCTCTAAACCACCTTGTCACTGTGTACCCATGGTGCTATAGACACGCCTGCTGTCCTGGATGCTCTAAATGCTCTGGTCTGCTCACACCTCCACTGCAGGCAGAGTAACTGCTTTAACAGAGAGGCCACTACTTCCAGCTAGACGTACCTCCCCAAATTTCTGACTCCTTCAGTATTCTGCCAGCAGTTTGCACTACTACCAGCAATCATAAGCAACAATTCATGTAACCCAGTGTTCAGACCCCAGCCAAAGCCAGTAGCTTAGAAATCAAAAACCACACCAAATAACCCAAACAGGGCTAGCTGAGAGTTACCTTTTCCACTAAATCCCTGAGGCACCATTAGTCACTAATCCACCATGGGCCAGTTTTAAGGCCCACCTAAAGAAACAAACAAATCACGCTTCCTACCCACTAATGCACTTCTGCTCCACGACCTCATCTGATCCCACTTTTTGGAATCATGCAATTGTGGAGTAGGAGCATTTTCATTTTAAACAGATATGCTACCTTACATTATAAATTATCTTCAGGGTTTTTTTAAGCTTCGAGAGATTCCCATTTGTGTAAGAGATCCTGTTGTGTATCATACCCAAGAGGGAAAAGAGAAATCCAAAACACATAACAGTCTGTATTATTATTATTATTATTTAGCTTCACAGTTCACATTTCATAGGCTACATGACTACATCAGCATAAAATGTTTTGCAAGTCTCCAGTACTAAATGTCAACATTACAGAGCAACCATTCTGCCAGAACATTTTTGCCTCCAACCGCCAATGCAGACACTGAACTATATAGCTCAAAATCCCAACAGAGAAAAATAAGGTCAGAGTTAATTAATTATTGTACAGTGTGTTCTATTTAACAGAGAACAAGCTATCCAGTAATCAATGGAAATAGCCTAGCGAGGTAGTCATCCACAAACACGCACTAATAAAACCTGCCAACTGAGAGTAGAAGTGTTGAGGCTTGTGACATGACCATATTAAGCAGGCAAAACAGGCCATATAAAGTAAATTATAATCAGTAAATCCTGCAGATGACCAGTGTTTCCAGGATAACTTCTATTTCACTGGTACTTCAGAAGCTGGGAAATCTGACTCAAAAGCCAAAACTTTGCTGTGCCTTACATATCATAAAGTAAAAATGTTGTATATACAAACATTTCAAGACTGTTTAAATAGAAAACTACTCCAAAATCTTATTCCATATATTCATCTCATCAAGCTTCAGTTATCTGAAATTCAAAAAGATCTTTGCCAGAAAAACCATGCCAAGCTTAGAAGCTAAAACAAAAGACACAAAAAGACAGTGTACGTAGCATCACTCAAAGAGCATCCAGCAAACTCCTCTCAAGCAGCTGCATTCATACTGACAAAAGACAGCTTATCTCAAACACAAGCTCACTCAGAGAGGAACATAACATCTTACTGTTTAGCACAAGAAAAAAAATCCCCAGCTTTCAGACTTCAGAGCACATGGAACAAAACGCAATTCCATTGCACACATGAGCACAACCAATGTCCCAGTAAGCCAGCAGGAGCCTGCAGCCACTGCCAGCAGTCTAACTTTGCTCTCTACAACATACAGTTTCCTCAAGACTTGTGAGTGCTCCTGCTCACACGGCCCCCATGCACGCCGATGTGCACGTGACACAGGCCCAGCCCTTTACCCCAGCTCCTTCCATTGGAACAGTTCCATTTTACAGGACTGTATTTATCAGATGAAGTCCTGTGATAATACAAACAGTCTTTGGCAAGTGAGAGACCCATGCTCCAAGTCAGGCAGTGCACAGACTATGAGGTGAAGTTGCTGCCACCTTCACCTAGGGCAGCATTTTGCTATAAAGTATAAGAAAAGGAAAATATGTTTGCCCTTATTTTTCCTCCAGACCTGTAAGGTTTTGATCCTACTCTACATTGCAGATCCAGTTTCTGGGTGAGCCCACAATGATTAATTTGTTATGCACAGTCTTACAAAACAACATTTCAGCCCTTCTGTTTTGGAGATGCACAAGCAACCTTTAACCATTAACACTGCCAAGATTTTTGGCCAGTTCAGCCAGTACACAAAACTTTTAGACAAAAAGTTATCTAAGGGGGTGCACTTATGCTGCACAAGGCAAGAGGGCATTACAGATCATAAGCTAGTCCTGAAGCAAGCTGGTGAGTGTGCTTAGCTCAGGAGCCAAGTCTGCATGATTCTCATTTCTCCTCGGGGTCGCAGCACATGCCACGCTCTGTAAAGCCAAGCAAATCACTTCAGCCTGCACTTTAACTTACTCACTCCAGATAGTGTAGTGGAAAGAGAGGAGTCCTCCTCTGGCTCAGCAAGGAAGAGACAAGGAGTCCTCCTCCTCCTTTAATTCAGTATCTTTCCTTCCCTCCTTATGATAATTTTAGCCTATCTTAACAGCTACAGATCTTTAAAAACTGAGACTCATCTAGTATGGCAAGCAAAAATATTTCATTAACCAGCTCATAAAGTATACCTACAAAGACAAACTCAAAGAAAGCATAACTACTAATACTACAGAAACAGCTTTTCTAACTGTAATCTCTTCCTTTGAAAAGTCATATTGTCCTCCAGGCTGCTGTATTCTCCTTACCACCTGGGTGAGTTAAAAATGTGATAAGCATGGCAGAGACAAAACATCTGTCTTTCATCCCTATTTCTTTCTGCAGAAAGAAATGTATTTCACAGGAAATACATTACGTGCATGCAAACAAAACCACCCTCTTCTCCCACAACTGCAGACAGGGAACAGAATGCAATGAGCATCTTCAGCATCAGCTCCTAAATTTCTGCTGTCAACAAAACCTGAACCAACTGAGCTACAAAAGCCCTCACCACTCTTAAGATCTCTTCTGCCTCCCATACTTGCAATTCTGTTAGATGCCAGCACCCTTAAAGACTCCTCTTTATTTACTCTGGAGAAAAGAAAACTCAGGTGAGACCTTATTGCTCTCTACAACTACCTGAAAGGAGGCTGTATCCAGGTGGGGGTCAGTCTGTGCTCCCAAGTAACAAGTGATAGGACAAGAGGAAGTAGCCTCAAGTTGCAGGAGGGGAGGTTTAAACTAAACTTTGAGAAAAATCTATTCACCAAAAGAGTTGTCAAGCAGTGGAACAGGTTGCCCAGGGAAGTGCCTGAGTCACCACCCCTGGAGGTATTTAAAAGATGTGTAGCTATGTTGCTTAGTGACATAATTTAGTGGTAGTCTTGGCTGTGCTGGGTTAACAGATGGACTTGATCTCAAAGACCTCTTCCAACCTAAATGACTCCATGATTCTGTTCTATGATTCTCTTGTAGCAGCTGGAGTCAGAGGACGTAAGCAGTTCATAGGAGATGTAAAACGCCTTGATTGTTGTTAAAATCCTCAGCAGACCAGCTGCATTTGTACATCCCTCCTGTCAGACACTACTTCTACAGGAACCGGATGCCTGAGCTTTGGTTGCTGTAGGGACACAGAAATGAGCAGAAGAATGGTAGCTGTCAGCCTGCAGCAATCGCACGGACCTCGCTGGTGCTGCCCTTCCTCCTCAGCTCTCCTCAGGGACAAGCAACCCGCTCCTCCCTCGCTCTCTGCCACCCCCCAGACCCCCAGCCACCCCCCCTTGCTGCTGCCGCCAACTCACCTTCGCACCAGTGTCCCAATTCCAGCAAAACCAGCATGGAAATCTGGTGCAAAAAAGCCCCGCCTAGTTAATTAGCGTGGCTTTCACTCCACACCTCACTAATTGGTAATGAAGGGATTACTTTATACTCGGTCTTTATGCACTCAGAAAATATTAGGAGATATTTGACATATATCTAGACGATTAAACAACTTTTGCTGTAAGTTAATCACTAATATTTTTTTATTTCCTTCCCCTTTGCCCTATAGTCAGCATTGTGTTTTAAAATAATGAGTGGAATATCCTTGTAAAATCTTAAAATTTGCCTACTGTAGTTGGTGTTTGGTGTAGGGGCTTTTGTATGCCATGAGGAAGATGTACCATCTTTCAGGAGGAGTTCACCATTGTTAGCCACCTTTTCTGCTGTCAGATGACTTACAAGCACTACCAAGTGAGCTACCTAAATAACATACTAACTTTATAGTTACACAACTAGTCAAAGCTTTCTAAACCGACAGAATATAAATTTCATATTTCAAATTCTATAAAGCAGACTGTGTTTTGTATGCATCTATTAGCACTACATCAAAGCTCTTGAAATAACTACCAAAGTCATGCTAAAAATGTATTGAAAAAAACAAGATTCTGGGGTCAATGCCTCCACAAATTATTACTATTCTGTGACTCTGAAGTGTGCCACTACCCTGTGCTTTCCATTTCTCCAGTTAATTCCAGGATCTTCTGCTTACATACAAAATTGTCGATTCAGTCTAACTCTGCCTTACTGCTTCAGGATCTTATTTCCAAACACCTTTTTCTAAAGCAAAGATCACCATATTTTAATATGGACCCTTAAATAAAAACCTAACATACTTCCAAAAGAAAAGAAATTCTTAGGCAAGTTCTATCCACCCAGGCAAAATGTCTTACAGCATTTATTTTGTGTAACATTTTTAGCTTTTGTTATATAGTTAAAATATTGCATATACTGTGAAATTGAATGGGAACAGAAGGGTAAGTTGCTGAGACAATGGAATCGCCGGCTATTTCAGTACTACAAAGTGCCAAAAAACACAGTTAAGAAATGCATATCTTTTCTTTTTTTTCTTTCCCCAAGCTGCCTTAAATTCTTATATTTTATTAAAAGAAAAGCACTAGAAAAGTACCTAATTTTGCAAGATTGGAATAGATAGTCAAACAAATAATGAAGGAACATTCAGATCCCTCTCTGAAAACTGTGAATACTTGCCTTGCCCTCTTCAGTGCCAGATGCTAGTACTCAGATAACATGACCTGGAGGTCTACAGGGCCGAATCACACCAGCAACCTGTTTGCACAAATTTACAAATGGCAACTACCACCACACACAGAAGCTCCCTGTTGACAGATGTGGCCTTCCAGTATTTAAAGTGGGCTTACAGGAAGCATGGGGAAGGACACTTCACCCAGGAGCGTAGTGATAGGATGAAGGGTAATGGTTTTAAACTGAAAGAGGGTAGACTCAAGTTAACTATTAGGAAGAAATTCTTTACTGTGAGCATAGTGAGACCCTGCAACAGATTGCCCAGGGAAGCTGTAGATGTCCCCTCCCTGGCAGCATTCAAGTACAGGCTGGATGGTGCTCTCAGCAACCTGATCTAATGGAAGGTGTCCCTCTCCATACCAGGGGGTTGGAACAAGATGATCTTTAAGGTCCCTTCCAACCCAAACTATTCTGTGATTGTATGACACGAGTTCGCACACCCAGCTCCGGCTGGGGCGAGGCCAGGTCTGTACTGCAGCTGATGATCGCCACCTGCTGGAACAAGTCCGCGCAAAACATTATTTCTTGTAAAACCATAGAATGGCAGGGGCTGCAAGGGATCCTCCGGGGATCAGCTAGTTCACTCTTCTTCCTCCCCCGTCCTCAGCTAAAGCAGGTTCAACTGGATCCGGCTGCACAGGAACACATCCAGGCACGCTCTGAAAGTTTCCAGAGAAGGTTGTGAAAGTCTCCAGAACCTCTCTGGGTAGCCTGTTCCAGTGCTCTGTCACCCTCAAACTAAAGAAGTTTTCCTTACGTTTAGGTGGAACTTGTGTTCTTGTCTGTGCCCCCTGCCCCTTGTCCTGTCACTGGGCACCACTGCAAAGAGGCTGGCCCATCCTCTTGACACCCACCCTTTAGATATTTACAAGCAATGACAAAATCCCTTCTCAGTCTTCTCCAGTCTAAACAGCCCCAGGTCTCAGAACAGGCCCTTTCCTCATAAGAGAGATGCTCTAGTCCCCTAATCATCTTTGTATCCCTCTGCTGGACTCTACCCAGTAGTTCCCTGAAAATATAAATGTAGGTTTAAATGAAAATGTAAAATGTAGTTGTTTAAATCAGCTACAAGATGTTTTGAGAGGTATTGCTGCAATAAACCCTCAGCAGAAACAGGCTTTCTGCTGTAACTTAGTGTGACAGAAGCCTCACACTAGCTGCAGAGGAGCCAGTGCAGTTCTTCGATTCCTCAGCCTTCAGGAAACAAGCCAATAAAAAGAGAAGAACTGGTTCACAAATTTCAGGAGGATATGCTAGATCACAGTGTATGACTGCTAACCTTTAACATTCTTTAAAAAGATTGTGGAAAAAAGGATGTATCTGAGAAGTTAATTCTGGGAGTGATTTTAAGGTAGCATTACACCTGTAAATAAGTGAAACAGATCACAGAGATTCAGATAACCTCAGTTATTTACAGAGAGCCCACAGACTTGTACTTAATTTAGGAGCAAAAGGACAATAGGAGTTAATACCTTTGACCTTGTACTTCTGAGGCTGTCTCACCTAACAATCCAAGAAAAACTCCTTATGGCTCTTACTTAGGGCATCATTCACAGCGCTCCACAGTCTCCTCACTGAAATCTCCATCAAACAGCCTATGGAAACAAACACTACTCCTGGCAAACAAAATGCCCATGGAAGATATCCTTAAGTTCCTTATATGCTCCTCTTTCAAATACAGAACTAAATTTCTACATTTAATCTACATTTAGCTGTGTGCACTCGCCTCAAAAACTGGGAAGGCAAACAAATGTATGGGGTTTTGGAGAAGATTTTTCAGAGCCACAGGACACTCACCTGGTGAGGCAGAGTAAGGAAGAGAGTCCTCAGTTCCTCTTCCACCTCTAACAACTATTTATGCAGTTTCCATTAAGATGTCACCAGATGAAAGAAAAAAGCCTTCCTAAACCCAGGCTGACTATCTTCAGCATTACGTTTGGCCACACCACAAACCTTGCAATTCCTTTTTGCACACAGAGGTAACTTTGACTGAAAAAGTAAAGACTACTCTTACTCCTTAGCAATTGGCAATTGGTGTATTTTTTTCTTCCTATTTGAAAGATGTGGGTTTGAGCTTCTTCAGGAAATTAATCTTAGGTGTCTCAGGTGGTGGCTACACTATCAACCAGTATAGCACAGCAGGAACAGGTGTGTAGCAGCTCTTTGTAGAGCAATAGAGCTGGTGGTGAGTACCTGACATCCACACTCACACATTTTGAGTGTGACTTCGGACTATCTCTAAGGTGGGTCCCTGTTAGCAGTTGGAGCCTACTGGTGTCCTGCTGGACCCCATGATTTTACATTCATCTGAAGTTCAAAAGCCACCAGACTATTCCACAGTGCAAATGACAACTGAAAGATGCTCATCCTTTTCTGTTGACATCAGAAACCATTAGGTGGCACATCTTGATTGTAAAAATGTAAGCAAGCAAACAAAAACATCCAATGGTGTTGAAAGTGGTAGGACAAAAAAAAAAAAAGCTCTTGGCTGTTGTTACCCCCCAAAATGAAAAATAGCTTACCTGAGTCTGGAGTCTTTAAAGGTGTCTAAGTATGAAGGATAGTTCCAAGTGACATTACAGCCCTTACACCGCAGTTCTATGCTTTGTCCTGCAGATAGGCTTAGCGTGGCAGCTAGTTTCTGGAAACGACCCTTGTCCATCACCTGGGTCAGTATGGACTGGGACTTCAAAGAGGAGTCAGCAGATTCTCTCTCCTTCATTCTGGGGGCCTTGGTCTTTATTTTTTTGTTAGCAAGCTTAATTTTGTTTTCCCCAGGTTCTTTTGGGTGCTTACTCTTCGCAGACTGTCCAATAACTAGTAAAATAAAGAGAAGAAGGCAAGGTTACTGATTAGAAAAAGGTTACACAGGCCTTTTGTTAAAAAAGGCTTCCATATTATCACAGAGAATAACTAAAGCTTTGTTCTCTCTGTTAAGGAGTCATAAAAACAAGTTAGGAGTTAATTTCCCTAAGTTTCTGAGGTCTCCAGCGTGACCCGTTTTCCTGGGGAAAAAGGAAAATAAAAAGAGCTTTCAACAACGTGGCAAGTCTATACTCATAATTCACGTAAACAGACAAATATGTAAGATATGAGAACTTTAGAAATGGGAAGGGAAAGAAACAAATACAACATTTCTATCTCCAGTCATTTTTCTAATTTCTACTTCATGTAGTTGCCCTTTAGTATGCAAAGCTACACACGCTTTCCATCTTCACAACAACGTCACCCCCCCACCAATTCTGCATAACCTTTTCACACACCATGTTACTGTAACAAACACATGAAGAAAACCTGGCAAATGGGGAACTTTGTAACAATTTATAAAATACTGATAGTGACGGAGTTTTCTTCTTTTACAGAAAGTACCATGAAAACACAAGTAGCACTTAACTCACTTGTGAGCAGACAACTCATTCACATTTGTATTCATGGCTTTTCCATGTGGAAATGCTCAGGTATTTTATTGTACTAATCAATCAGCAAGCTCCTCCTGGAATTAGAAACAGCCCTGCTGCATACTGAGTTAGCATGAAGTAAGATGTACTGGCTGCAGTGTAACAGCAGCACTTCCAGACTCCTGCCACTGATGGCTCCCATGATGTTCCTCATACCCAGCTGGGCACCTCCAGACTTCCACTTCTCTAAGCCTGGGATTATATCAGCACCACGTCTCTTATATGGTGCATAGCTTTGTGAGCAAAAATTTAAAAATTAGGAAATTCAATCTCAACATAAGTAAACACTGTGAGGGTAGTCAAAGCACTGGCACAGGTTGCCCAGAGAGGTTGTGGAGTATCCATCCCTGGAGATATTCAAAACTTGACTGGACATGGTCCTAGGCAACCTGGTCTGGGTGGCCCTGTTTGAGCATGAGGTTGGACTGGATGACCCTAAGAGGTCTCTTCTATCCTCAGCCATTTTGTGACTCCGTGATCAGCATGAAGAGTAAAGTTGCCTGTGTAGGAGCCTTTACCTTCTGGTCTTGCATCAAGAGGAAAATAAACTGGAAGACAGCAATGTTGTAGTTAATTACTTTTTTGAGAGGCACACATCCAGTTACTATGGCAGATCCCTCACACAGCCAAACATTTTTCCCAGTTCTACATGACGAACATTGGTGAAGTTGACTGCAAAGATGCCTCACTGCCTTAAAATGAGCCACAAAGTGAAGAGATCAAACAGAAATGCCTTCCAAAGATCATAACATTTTGTCAAGGGTTAGGGCTGGGCCAGTCACTACGCAAACGACAGATGCTCTCTACTAACCCCTCTCCCTTCCCAAAAGGGGAGAGAAAGGATAGAAGGGAGAGAGCCCTATGGACTGGAAAACTAAACCAGCTTTAATGGAAATAATAATAATAAAATTAAATATATACAAAACCAATATTGAACCCAACCCCCCTATGGCAATTACATCACTGTCACCACTGATGCTGTGGAGCAGGCACTGGGGAAGGCCCAGACTGGACTCAGCAGCAGACCGAAACTGGATTCAGGAGCTGGACTCTGGAACTGGATTCAGGAACCCATGGATCGGGATCAAAGGCAGAAAAGAGACACTGGCCTTTCAGGAAGAGAAACTGACCCTCATGATCCCTCAGCTTTACACTGAATACGACGTATATGGGATGGAATCCCTTGTGGCTCAGTTTAGGTTCACAGTCCTGTCCACTCCTCCCCGCAGGTGCAGCCTTTTACTTTCTGCACCCCTGATGTTGTACACAAGATCTAGCAGTGATCATGGTTTCTATAGGAGCAAGTATAAATAAAAGCCTTTCTGCACATCAAGTAACTGTAAACATCAAGCATTATCAATACTAGAAGCAGACAGTGTCTGTGAAAATAGGCCATTAACTTCAGAAAGTGCCATTACTCAGAAGAGACTTAGCTGGAAGTACAATCACTGAACAGTTAGTTTTTTTCTAGCTCAAGCCAGGACGTATTTGAAGATAAAGAGTAACATTTTATAGTTTCTGGAAGGGAGAGTGAAATAATTACTTATGCTTTTTCCAATTTTTCTTTGCACCTGTGATACCACTGGCCATGTAAAATTGACAGACTTGGGGAAATAACAGAGGAAAATTTCAGACAAGTGGTTGCTGCCTCCCATGGAAAATCATGAAGCAGGGTTCTTCCAGTTAGTGCACGTTACCCTTGTGAGTGACATGGTTCATCTATTACAGGGGCAAACAGCTGGCTTGCATGAATGCAGGAGCACTTTTCCCCTGCATTGGATTACAAAGGCTATGTTGGGTCAGGCCAAATGTCTACCTGGCTGTAATGGTTTGAACCTGCTGCTCCTGGTGGGAGGAGATCTGAAATATAAAACCAGGAGCAAGCCTGAATGAAAGGGGCATACACCTGTTCTATTCCCACTCCCCTCTTCCTGTGTTCAGGACTTCCTGCTGGGCTCTATAAAAGGGGCAAGAAGACACGCCTCTCTCTCTTGCTCTCTTCTCTTCTCCTCTGCTGGGGTCCTGGCTGGGACACGCTGCTCTGCTGCTTTGTGGTTCCCTGTGCTGCACGTGGCTGTGGCCATCTTGGAGACCTGGGCCTGATCTACAAACTTTTCCCTGCCTCCATCCACATCCAAGGATTGTGCATCCAGCTTCAATCCACCTCAATCCAGCAAGATCCAGCACTGGGGAGCCTCAGCACAACATTTGAGTTTTGTATATTTGGAAGTTTAACCTTCCTTGCTCTGTTGTTCCTATAACCCCCTTACCCTGTTAAACCCCTACCCTTTTTTCCTTTCTGTACCCTGTTAAACCCCTACCCTTCTTACTTTCTGTTCCCTGTTAAATAATATATTTCATTTTGTTAACTTTTCAATCGGTGCAAAGCTTTCATTACCCCTGCCTTCCTTTTGTTTACCTCTCTACCTGGGAGAACTAAGGGATAAGGGAGGTGGGACACAATTCTGCCTTCTAACCGGGACACTGGCCAACATCTTCACAATGACATTACCCAGTGTCAGACATCAACCAGGGAACAGGGAAACCACCTTTGCTCCTTTGATACTCATGTCTTAGCTTCCAAGAATCTTTAGCTGAAGGGATCAGTGAGTCACAGGTGCCAAGGTTTTATTGTCCTTGGTGAATTTTTCCTTCATTAATTTGTCTGGTCAGTTTTCAAAACTACACAAATTACACATCAATATTAGATGCCTCCAAGTTTTTCTATTAGGTGAATAAATATCCATTGTTTCTCCAACAACTTTCTCTGTGGCGCTGGTACTTTTACAGAATTTATGTGTCCTTCAAACATACCCTTTCTGGACTAAATACTGTACCTGAACTTCTGTAAGATGCATCATGTTTGGGTAATGGAAAGAAGACAAAAGCAGACTGCACACCAGGTTCAAGATACAGTCAAATCACAGTTGTATGTATTAGTGGTGTCTTCCTTCCTGTCTAAGCAGCTCATGACTTTTCAAGAAAGCAGTATTAGGAACCGATTTTGTCTAGAACAATCATGTGTAACTCAAAGATCACCCTCCTAAGTAGGAACTGTTGGTTAGAAATTCCTAAGCAGAAACCCATCAACGTGTATATGAAGTCATAATCATTTGTGTTATTTAGCATCTACCAACACAAAATTTCAAGTCCTATTTTCACTGCCCTGTCTTTCAAAATGGAGAGATCCTTCTGCAACTCTTTACTGAGTTTTCTTTCAGCAGATTTATAAATATGCTGAAAAGCATATGCCTTAAAAGATCCCTGTGAAATTCAGCTGTATAAAAACAACTCTGTGGACATATTACAAGAACTGAAGATTAACTCTTTGCTTTCTATTAGCTATTATTCCATAGGAAGTCTTCTCTTGTTTCACAGCACCTTGGATCCCATAGAGTCTTTAACAACAGGCTTACCAAAAGCCTTTGGGAATACAAGTACATCAACCAACTCATCCATGGCCACACTTTTAAAAAGTCCTTCAGAGAACTTCAGCAGATGGGCAAAATAAAACACACTTCTGAAGGGGGGCTGGGGGAAAGGCAGCCATGCAATGCCATACTGACTTTTCTGTAATTTATGCCTATTTATTTACAAGTTCCAGTTACAGAACACAGACATCTGGTTTTGTGTCTGTAACTCCTTCAAGAATCTTAAAATACTTGCATATTTCCACTTCCCTGCAAAGGATTAGTTACATTATAGATTATGCACCCAAGTTAAGAATTCGGTGATTTCAGATTCAAATTAAGTCTCAGGCATATACCATTAAAACATGGCACTGTCCATCCATGTTGTTGATTTTCTCCAAAGCAAATTATTTTGCCATAATAATGAGACATGTCCTCTAAAAATTCTCCCCATACATAAAAATTCTGTCTCAGAGCCTGCTATTACAGTGCTCAGTATAACACTGCACTCAGTTTCTGACATGGTTATCAGGTCAACGTTTTCCATTAAAGCACACTCGTAGCAAACATGGGTGCACACAAGCAACAAAAACTTAAGTTTTAGTTTCTGTAGGTGGTCTTTCTTATCCTGTTTGTACCAGCCTTAGAAATTTTGCTGCCATCTCTCCCTGACACACCCCAGCACATCAGAAGAAGAAAAAGATTTATGTCTGGTTTTATCCCTTTTGCAAGCTGTTTCTCAAACCCCTTTTTTCTGCTTTATTCTTGTTTTTATATTTAACCCATATGTGAGTTAATGAACCTCCTCATCGTATGTAATTCCCCCTTCCGAAATTAAACCCATCAGCTGGTTTTTTGGCTTTTATTATTCCTGCAAGAATACTACAACTACAGTCTGGCTCTTCTGAAGCAGCATCTGAATCCAATTACCTGAGTACTGCTCCAGATCAAGTCAAAAACCTCTGATTTTCTCAGGGGTTCCTGGAGTAGCTGCTCTAAGAAGTCGTAATTTGTAACCTCTAAACAATTGCACTCAGCATCATACCTCAACGTGAGATCCAACCTGCATGAGGGTAATTCTTCCTTTTGCTTTTCTATCCAGTCCTTGCCACCCCTCTGATTTTCCCTCCATTTTGTTGGGCAGTCAGTAACCAGGTTGTTCTCCACAGGGCTGGCATTTCAGTCCAGATGATTTTTACTGATAAAAATCAATCCATCAGCAATCAGACTTAAAAAACGAAAGTGTTTTTTTTAGCACATAGTGCCACTTCTCCCTTGGGTTGAGCTCTTCCATCTTTCCTGTCTCCTTTGTGCCCTAGCGTTACAAGGTCCCACTGACAGGCATGGTAAGTCTTTTGGACAAGCATTCCCATTTCAAAACAGCTGTTCCAGTTTCCTGCTGTACTTTCCAGATTTGTCTGTAGAAGCACAGAATCTTTAGTCCAGTCACCCTTTTCTTCCTGGCCCAGCCCCAGCCTTATTGAAACACGACTATCTGTTCAAACTACTCTTTGCCATTTCCACTACATTATGCCAACCTCAATCCTGACACTTGTTTGAAGGCACATGGATTTTACAGCTTCACCCCAAAGAAATGCATCACCAGACCTGTGTGCTCTTCCACACCTGACACTCTGCCTTTAAGAAACTGTTAAAGGCTCCATTATGAAAGATGTTCAATTTTAAGTGCCAGAAGTCTGGTTTTGATTTTCTCTAGACTAAACTTTTCCTCTCTGCACAAGCTCCCTCTGTTCCACATTTCTGTAGTTCCTAGTAAGCGTGAACACTTTCCTCATACACCACAGTCCCAGCTACACAATGAGACCACTGTGTCTCCCTGAAGGTAACAGCAGGGGTGTTTCAGGAAACACCATCAGAGGAGCTTTTATCTACCTACACAGAAATCTTAGTTTTGCCTCTCTGATGCACGTCCTTGAGAGCTAAGTTTCTGTGTAAGCCTTGGCCATGCTGCTCCCCAACACTCCCTCTGTTAGTCTGTTCAGGTATCTGCTGATGCCACTACTTCTGCACCTCACAGTCCTGCCTTCTCTCATTGCTGAATCAAGTATATGTATGTCAAATAACTAAATTAACTGGTACAGTAGTCTATTATTTAAGACAAAGATGACAGACAATCAAATCCCTCCAGGACCACAGAACTCACCAGAGATTCCCCCATTTCTTTAACCAAACTGCAAGATTTTCCCAGGGAAGGGAACAAACTCAACTAGCACACTTATTCAAGTACATGAATATGCCCCGTTTAGGATACTTTACCATCTCACTAGATCTATTCACGAAGTTGTTTTAAGACAACACTTCTTATTAAAAAACTAATAAAATTAAGACTGAGCAGAAGAATATGCATTGAGAAAACCCCCCCTTTCTACCTCTGATCAGCTCCTAATGTCAGTTCTAAGATGCACTGTACTTGTTTCCTCTGCAACAGTCCATTCAGGGTCCCCACTAACCCATCATGCTGAAGCAGGAGACTATGCATCACTATGGCACGGAAATACACCAGGCAGCACTTTTGCTCCTGGTTCATAGTATTTGTCTCATTCTATCCTTTAACACTCATCTGCCCCTTGTTCTCACAGATGTTACACACAAAACAATCCCCAAATGAGTGTTAGTCATGTAATGCTAAAAAGCATCCAGTTTTAACTGGAGACATCATCTACATCCACATGCATGTTCCACTGCTTTCACAGCTGCACAGGTTATGTAAGTTGAGAAGGACCCTGATCTTCTTCAAGTGTCCACCTAGAGAACTTCGGAAGCAGAGAGTGAGCAAGGTCTCCCACAAGGACAGAGGAATTGTTTTCACTGTCTGCCGGATGTACCCATTTCATGAGGCAGGCCACATGCTGCAATGTGGCAGCATCAGAGACCTTTAAACTCTCAATACTGATGGACTCTTCCTTGGAAAAAAAAAATTAATGAATTGTGAGATTACCATAAAGGATAATTCTTAACCACCAGGATTAAGATGAGAAGGAAAAGTCTTTGTGATCACAACTAATGTAACAAAACCGGTTGGGTACATCTCTACTTGTACTTCAAATTAAAAGGTAATCATCCAAACACTCATACAGACAATACAGGGTAATGTGTCAACATTCTATGGACAACCTGGAGGGCCATATTTCACTGTTCATAAACTAATACAAGCTAAATTAGGAAGGCTATTTTGTAATCAAAGTGTCTATGTTAGAACTTACACCTCTAGCTTTAGACAAGGAAATGTCATTAAATATTCCAGGTTACTTCCACAGCTAAGGATCTGGATGAGATATTGCCAAGCACCCTGTCAAACCTCAGTACAAACTAGACAAACTGAGAAAAACATAGGCCTGGGAAATCTTTTGCCCAAGTTACAACTCATTTGTCATTCTGCCTATTTCTCAAACAGTCTTCTTGATGTGGTAGTGCACACCCACAGATCAGATCTTTCAGCAGAAATTCTCTCACGCACCACTCTGGTCCAGAACACAATTCCTCTGCACGTAGTCATAAGAAAAATTGGGCTGGAAAGGACTTCTGGAAGTTCTCTCCTGACCCTGTTCAGTTCCTCAGAGCGCTGTCCAGTTGGGCTCTGCCTATCCCAAAGGCTGGAGACTCTACAGCCTCCTCCAACAACTTCTTTCAGCGCTTAACATCTCTCAGAATGGTGCATATTTTATGTCCGTACAAGAATTTCCTCCCCATGACTTCCTGGGCCACATTTGGTAATTGTCTCTCTGCCTTCCACCGCACACCTCTGAACCTGCCTCTGACTTCTCTTCAAATCCTTCTGTGGGTCACACAGAGCTTGTTCCCCCAAGACCTTCAGTGGGGAAAAACAAAGGGATTTTTGTTTGTTTATTCTGAAAAAAAATAAATTTACTAAGTTGTTCATATTTTGCAGGGGGGAAACAACCACTCTTTTGCCTAGTAAAAGTCTACACAAGTCAGGGATAGGTTATGAACGTCCCTCCCCCGCCAAAAACTTGCCTCTCCCCCCATCAAGCCTTCATGACAAGCTGCAACTGAGTTACGAGTGAAGTTCGGCCCTCTCTACAGAAAGAACAACGGCGCGCAAGACCTTTACTTATTTACTTTATTTTAAAGCCGAGCACCACGTCCAGCACGGACCCTCCACAAGCGCACTTAAACGTCGACCCGCAGGCGGAAGGGGCCAGCTGGGGGTGCCGCGAACGCCTCTCCCCACAGCCCCAGCACGGACTTAAGACCTATTTCGGGTCCCCGGCAGAAAGCCTCGG